CTGGGGAATTCTGGGAGTTGAAGTCCACACAGCTTAAAGCAGGCTGGCAGCGAATTCTGGGAGTTGAAGTCCACACAGCTTAAAGTGGTCAAGGATGAGAAACAGTGGTTTAGTGCAGTGTGAACCAGACCAAAAGCCCCATTGTGGAGATAATGTGATCAATCCCACAGCTGTAAGATCAAGCCCTATCTCTGAAATTAGGGCCTGTAATGCACGCTGTTTATTTGCGGCTGAACTGCATTAACAGAGAGATTCAAGCCATTTGGCGGTCAAGGGAGGTGTGCATGTAAAACAGATTGTATAAAATAATTACATGTGCTTGTGTTACAGGAAGTATCAGCCAGCTGCAGCTTTTCCCTCAGGCTGTGGCCTACACAACATGCTTAACCAGGTCAATGAAATCATAGCAACTGTGTTTACATAACATGTCCAGCTTCCTTGGGGTGAACTCTGCTTATTTTCTGGCTTAGCAAATTTCAAAAACTCAGTTTGTCTGATTAGTTGTGTGAACCGCGGCCGAGGAAGACTCTGGTCTGGCCGCACGAGGTTTGTGCAAGAGACGCATGTGTGTCATACCCATCTTTCTAATCTATACACACGCACCGATATTTATTAAAAGATCAATCAATTTACTCTTAGCTTAAAAAAACTTAATAATATTGTTGATAACATAAATATGCTAATACAAATATATTGAGCAATATCAATGAATTAAAAAAATCAGAGAGGTTAGAGTAATTCTTTTAAAGAAGTATCTATAAACTTTATTTTCTTTTATCAAGAAATTATTATTTACAGATCGATCCCCAGTTCTGTGGATCTTCAGAATGTGGAACGTGGAACTGTTTACTGCTCAGATGTGCTCCAACTAATCTGGAATAGCAGTTTTCCTTAGTTTGGCTGTGACTTCTATTTTCTGAAAGACAGTTTCCTGGCCCAGGTCCATTACAAAGGGCAGAATCCTAAAAGAATTGCCTGGAGTTGGGCAGCATATAAATGTAATAAATTATCATCATTATTATTATTCACAAGCAGTAGGTCTAGAAGCCTACCAAGTACAGAGTATATGGTCAACCGCCATCTTTCCCATGATGGTGAGACATACTATATTTCTACTGAAACAGGAAGTACAGGAAAAAAGTACAAATCTGCATCTTTGTTACACACACAGGATTCCTTCCACAGAGTTCACGTACTTCAGGCCTCATTCATTCATTCAGCATTTTATTAACTTCCGGTGCCAGCAATTATATTTGCTGACTGGGATGACCAGATTTGTAGCCAGTTGCGAGACTAAAGCTTTAAATAAAGTGGCAGCTTTTACAACCGTATGAAAAGTAGTCTTTGCCTTGTTAAACTCAACTTCCAGTGCGTTCACAGACTTTTCTTGGCATCAACACAGTAGTTTCCCATTGCTTCAGCGGGGATGTTTTTGACTTTCCAATCTATCCTACAGCCCTGAATTTTGTAGTGGTCTCCCATCCAAGGAACCAGCCAAGCCCAGCCTTCTGAGCTTCTGAAGCAAGATAGCTTGTCCTAAAAAGACACCTGTATCTCAGCTTGCCTAATAACCATCTATGTTATCCCATTTCATTCTGAAAAGGAGGATTAAATAATGGAGAAAGATTGTTTTAACAATGTAAACAAAAGCTGATCCAGTAGCCTGTCTCTGTCCCCTTTGGATGTGCCAAATCAGGTATTTACAAGACAGAAGCAAGATGTTTATTCAGGATACAAGTCCGAAGATGGGCAAAGAAGTAGCTAGCTATGAAAACACTCCTGCAAATTTCCAACTTCTTCCAAAGGTGGGGAGAAATGGTTCAAAGGAGGGTGCTTTTACTGTCTTATCCTCTGCTTCAGATGTTGACTGAGTAGAAGCCGGAGGTGCTCTCAAAGCAATTAGCCTAAATAAATACACAAGTAAATAAACAGCACCACATCTTAAGCCGATGAAAAGCAGGTTCTTTGCAGCCGTGTTTGCTGAGAGGCTGCCCTCCCTGCTGCTGCAGCAACTCTGCCCGTCCGAACATCAGCTGTGCCCTCCAGAAGCCGCCTCCTCGTCCTTCAGCTCAGGTGACTTTCGAAAAAAGCGTTTATAACCCTATCAGCTAATCGCCACTGCTGCGTTTGTGGGAAGCGAGTTCCAGAAATTAGGCGTTGTGCAAAGCAGCATAATCCACAAATGTTCTCTCTAATCCCATTTATCGGTTGCTGGTTCAGTTGATACCTTTCAGGGGCGCACCGTGGTTACTGTAAGTAAAGGGTTTGCCCTTTTAATATCACCTCCCACCCTCCACCTTCCACCACTTGTCAGGCCTGAGCAGGTCCGGCAGGGCAGGACGGAGCTCAAGCACTCCCTTTGATCTGGCAGCCGGGCGTGCGGTCTCCGAAGAGGCATGGGTAGTCCACAGCCCGCCCCCCCCAACACCCCCCCCCCACTCGCACACACAGAGACTTCACGCCTGAAGACTTGCTGGAGCAGTTTCCTAGTTGATAAGGAATCTGTGTCTTTGAAATGCAGCACACTTCCCAAGGGGAAAACAGAAAGGCCTCGCGCCGACAGCTCCACCCGCTCTGCTCATCAAGAGCAGTGAACCTGACACACGCACACGTTTTGGAGGTCTCCTATTGCCAGCAGTTGAAGTCCACACATCTTCCAGCTGCCAAGGTTGAGAAACGCTGCTTTAACCTCTCTGTCCTGACAGCAGTGGAGATAGTTTGAAAGCTGAGAAAGGGGAAGAAGCTCTTATCCTTGGAGCTGACATCTTTTCTAGTCCTAGGAAGAAGCCTGCATGTCAGATGGGGGACCTCCATGGCCGTTCCCCATTCTTGAGCCAAATCAGCCATCATCTGAAGCCATACAAGGCAGCCCCTATTCCATGCAGCCCCTCCACTGCGTGATCCTAACACTAATTCCCAGCTTCCACGACTTTGAAGAGTTTGGGATGGACTTCCTTGCCTGAGATGTTACTTTCTTGACACCTCTAGAAGGACTGGTGCCCCACACAGCTTCTTGAGCTGATCTTGTGCTCAGATTACAAATGAAATTATTATCCCAAGAAGCTTCTGGTAGATTTTTATTTTTTTCATCTCTCTTTGATGTAGCGGCTGCACGTTAACTACAAGTGGCAACCTCCAAACAGGTTTTTAAAGCAAGATCACAGAGAGTCAGGAAATGCTTCCCAGAATGGAGGATAAAAGCAAGCAAGCAAATAAATAAATAAATCTTTTTCTTTGCAGCCACCAAGAGTTCCATAAAAACTTGGCAGTCTGTTGCTGTCAGCACATTTCGTGGCTTGGCCAAACAAGCTTTTTTCCTGCAGGGAAGCCGTTTGAATGGCCGAGAGCCAGAGGTGAAAATAGTGCTGTGCTTGCAATCCTATGAAAAAGGGGTGACCTAGCACAAAACAGCTAGTGCTTTCTTGACAGGTGAGAAAATACTGAATTTCACTAATTTTCAGGTCCTTGGAAATCAAGTTAAGAGGCCGAGGTTGCCTCAGTTCCTCTTCTATTCTATAAAAGGAAATGCCTGAAAAAATGGCCAAATCAAGGGATTCAGGTGTATCTCAGGTTGCATTCAGTTTGCTCCCTGAATAATTAACATTCTTGGATCCATTTTGAGACTTCAGAATTCTTATTACGGAATCGTAGCAAGGTCCTGCAACCAGCTGAAGGACACGAAAGGATTTCCAAGTAATATTGTCCTGGGAGATATATTCCCTCAGAACATGGTTCACAATCAAATAAGTTGCATCTCTGTACTGTTAATCGACTTCTAGAGGTTTTAATAGAGGGTTTTGCCAGCTCTCCTACACAAAACCACCTGTCATGATGATGAAACTAATCTGATTTTGAGGGCACTTGCAACACCTGTACATTATTAGCTTGTATTTAGGTAAACCCTTTGACGTCCTTTGGCAACATCTGCTGGTTACTTTCTGATATGTAATCATATTTCTAATGAGCAGCTTGTTCATCCCTATTCAGCTGCCTGCAGAGGTGTGAAAAGCAGCAGGGCACCGCTTTCCGTTCCCCGTGCTGCACCAGTGACCACCTTTCCTCACTGGTTTCCTGTCTCCACCCAGCTGCTGCCAGCTGGACCGAACTTTCCCTGCTTTTGTGCTGGAAACCTGCGTTGAACGCGCCTGTGCAGTGAGCAGAAGCATCTGGGGAGAGCAGCAGTTGGAGAGGCTTGCCTTCGTCTCGAGGGAACAAGAGAAGAACAGGCACAGCTGGTTCCAGTTTGATAAATACTCCTTCAAAAAGAAATTATGGTTCTCTTCTCTAAATCTGTAGTTCATCTCTGAGGTCACAGCTGGGAGGTGCAGGACATACTCTTGGATTATTCCAGAAGATTCATTCGTGTCCTCTCGTGCCTAGGTTGAATGGCATCAACAAGAGAGTTTTATCCCCTCACTAGGCCATGTTTGTGTAGACCATGTATCAGTGTTTCCAGGCTGGCTTCTCAGAGTGGCTTCATCACCTTCAGTGGAACCACTGTGGAAAGACAACCCTCACATTTTACGTTTCCAGAATGTGTACCTTCGTCTCAAATGACAATCCGTCATGCAGAAGTTTCTGCAGAGCGTCCATTTCATAGAAATGGCTTTTCACAGAGGCCATGGTGTTAATGTGACATTTAATCGATTCTCAACGTCCCCAGTACACACAACAATTATTCAGCCCTTTTTCCTCACTTCAGAGCCACAAGTGAGTTTCTGGATAATAAATGAAAAGCAAGGTGTTCTTGGCACCTTGAAGACCAACAAAACAAGGGTAGCTGGAGTGAAACAATGCAGTGAAAAAAATATATGAAGAGTTGCAAGATTTTCTACTCCCAGAAATGCATATTTCTTGTTCTCTTACACATAAATCCACCTGCTGCATTTTCTATGATATTGCGCTGATTCGTATCCATTGCATTGGACTTCGGTATCATATGGGGAAAAATAATGCACTTTTATCTATCAATTTCTTTGCTGGAATGAAATCTCTCTTAAGATTTTGCAAATAAAGACAGTTTGGATGCAGGAAGTTAAATCCCTGAGAAAGTCACTAGGACTGACTCACAAATATGTCTTCAGCATATGGAGACTTTGGGTGAAAATGCTAGCAAACTTTGGATATCTATTACAGTGTTGTATTTTTCTGGGCAGTGTAACATTGCTGGGAGCTCCCACCCTCCCTTGCACATGAGGTCCTCAAGGCAGGGAATACTCTTCATTCTTAGTTAAGCCCCTCCCCTAAATAGGAGTCAAGGTGCACATGGCTTTGATTTCAGGAACCCGCACGCCCTGAACTTGTGAGATAGGAACACTGTATATGCCTTAAGACACATCTCTGGCCATGTGATTCATGCCATGTGATTATTCCCACTGGACTGCTGAGTTGTTTCCCAGTTCAGCTGCTGACAGAGTAAGACTGGCTGACCAGGTTATGAACAGGGCACAAAGTCATTTGGAACGCAATGAAGTCTGAGAGTTCTGGGAAGGGAGTGCCTGCTCTAGAGCAGAGGTCCTCAGAGCTTCGGGGAGGCCAGAGAGAGGCGCAAAGAGCCAACAGCTTATCTCAAGCTCCCTCTTGACCCTTTTCAGAGGAATGTATCTTTCAAAGGGTTGGGATTACACACACACACACACACGTCATGAATGAGCCCGCTCCCATAATTTTCCTTGCCATTTCAATGCATTTGTAGGTTCATTTCTCTCTTTTCCCTCTATAGAGCAGTATTTCTGAACCTGAGCAACTTTACGATGTGTGAACTTCAAATCCCAGAATTCCCCAGCCAGGAATTCTGGGAGTTGAAGTACATACATCTTAAAGTTACTGCTCTATAGATTGCCCTATAGGGATGGGCCAATCCGTTCCCACCTTAAGAGGTCTTCTGAGTTGCCCAACACTTAGGTATCCCTTTCTGAAAGAGACTGTGATACAGTTTAAACTACTCTTGGGCAGGTTCACATGTGGTACAAGCCTCTTCCTTTTCACTAGGACCATACCAGGGTTTCCTCTATCTGCACATGATATCTCCCATGTTCTTCAGCAGATGTTCCTATGCCAATTAGCTTTCGGTTCTTTCAGCCAGGGAAATCCATGGGTAACTAACTCTGGATCAGTTACTCAAGTCAGCCCAATTGCATAAGACTGTTACTGTTGTGGAGTACAATTAGGAGACTCCCATATAAGCCACCACTAAGTAAGGCAAGACAGATCTGCAATATGCAATTAAATCATTTTTCCCATCTGATTAGTATCTTTAATAACACTTACCCACAATTTCCTTGGCTAGACTATAGACCAGTGCTTCTCAACCTTGGCAACTTTAAGATGTCTGGGCTTCAACTCCCAGACTGGGAGGGGAATTCTGGGAGTTGAAGTCCAGACATCTTAAAGTTGCCAAGGTTGAGAAACACTGCTATAGACTAACTTGCCCATAAGGCCTTGCCTTTCCCATAATTCTTTTTTTAAAAATCAGCATCACACTGGCTATTTTCAACTTTTGTAATTGTAGTGACACGTTGTATTCTTTTATTAAGAGATGAGCAATTCCACAATCAAGAACCCTTGGTTGTATGCAATCTGGACACAGTGACATTAATTTGTGAACATGTCAATTCCTTCTAGAATTTCATCTCTTCCATGTCTATTTCGTTCAGTTCTTCAGAAGTTAAGACTGATGCAAGACCTTGCAGTGCTTGAGGTAGGAAAATTAAACAATATGCCCTGTACCCACTAGCCCACCACAAGGTTCTCCTGCACAAAGCCTGCTGTTCTGAAAGGGAGGTATACAAGAGTAGCATCATAGTTCTGCATGGTTGCCCTTCATAATGGGGACATGACTGCACCCCCAAAGTCCCTGGAGAGTTGCTTCATCTCACCTCATATGTGGACCCCTCTGGAAAACAAAACACGTCCTACAGAGGCCAAGACATCCACCTGCTAGTAGCATCTTGAAGCCAGGCAACTTCTGCAGAGAAAACAGTTCCATCCATTTCTCTGTTGTCCTACTATCCCAGTCCTTTCCTCACTACTCAGCAAGGAAACATTTGGCCTGCGGCCTCCACCAACAGCTACTTCTCTCTACTGCAAATCTCCTACCCAGTTCCCATTGCCTGTTTCTCATAGAGAGGATGTTTGGGCTGGAAGACTCCCTTTAGGCTCACAGAAGAACCTGCTATTCAGTGTGTAGCTCCCATCCTGTCCTCCTCGCACGTCGAAATCGATGGTGACTTCCTCAATCTCCTCGTGGCTGTTCTGGACAGTGCTTTTTCCGTGCAGTTCCTTCAGGTGGCGCCGCAGGCCCGGTTTGTGCGTGAAGTGCATCTCACAGTAGTTGCACTTGTGGGGCTTGATGCCGCTGTGCAGGTTGAGGTGGTCCTGCAGGGTGGCGTTCTGGGTAAAGCACTTGCGGCAGATGGGGCACTGGAAGGGCTTGAAGCCCGTGTGCACGCGGATGTGCCGGGTCAGGTTGCTCTTCTGCGAGAAGACCTTGCCGCAGCGAAGGCACAGGAAAAGCTTGTGCTCCTGCACGTGGCTTACAAAGTTGCCCAGCTGCTGGAACACGCGGCTGCAGCGGGGGCATCGGTAGGGACGCTCCAGTCCGGGAACCTTCCACGTGGCCACCCCGCTGCCCGCCCTCCACTCCCTGTAGTTTATAGCTGTGCCGTGGCGATGGCGATGCAAGGGGTAGTTCCTCCACTGAGAGGCGGGCGTGGAAGTAGTTGATGGAAAGGGAAGCCCTTTGCTGCTCATGTCATCATCGTAGCAGCCCTGCAGGTAGCTGCGGGTGATCTCCACAGCGGAGTTGATGAGGGAAAGTGAAATTGCGGGAGAGGAGGGGCCGTGGGAGCTGCGAGGGGTGAAGTCTGGGGCCACCGTTTTGTTTTCTTCTGAATCTGCTTTCCCCGGTGTTGAAGACGGTTGTTTCTCCTCCTCCTCCTC